AAACATGAGACAATATCAGAACATGTATATATATTATTGCATAGTTACTCATAAATAATTAAACAGATTAATTAAATAGAGTAAATTATTCAATTACCTTAACTCTACTATTGCTAGAAACATTATCTATGGTATTCTCTTAGCACTGAGCGACACAAATCATTTCCACTACCTTGGGTTGTACATGCGATATGTTAATCTATACAAATTAGCACTATTAGTCAATTTATAAACTGACCACAAGTACCAATTATCACTATTATCCACAATTAACCATTCATTTCTTTTCCAATAACCATTCTAAGTTTCAATCACCCTCTTTAACCTTCCTATCACCTCTATAAGTTCCAACACACTTCACACCAAATTTTCACCCCTTTTAAATTATCAAATTAGGGCTACTTAAGCCTACCACTTAAAAGCTTAATCGTTAATTTCTAAACTAGTTGCAAAGCCTTAGTCTAATTTTCAAGAATATTTTTATTGCCAAAGGGTAAGAAATCAATCCCTTTAAACTCCTTATTCAATTTTCTATAACTTAAATAAGAGAAATTAAGGTAGAATCAAATCTTAGGGCGATACAAAACTTGTCCGGCAAGCAACTAGTCAGAAATATCTCCTAAGGCTCCAAAACTTGATGCCCTAGCAAAACTCACACTTGTTAGAAATGTTAATACACCCAAGAGGGAGGTGAATTGGGTGTTTAAGAAAATTTTGATTTTTTTTAAAACTTTTCAGCAAAACTATGTTCAAAGAAAATTTTAGGCAAATATGAGTTCTAAACTTTGTGTGTAAGAATGCCAAAGTTATTTTCACAAGCTCAATATATGTATGAAAATTTAGAAATAATTTCTAAGTGCAAGTTCGAGTAAGAGCAAATAAATATATCAAATTATATTTTGAACACTAAAAACATAGCATAGGTTAAGGTTGCTGGAAATGTAAAGAGTTAAGGGAAGAGAGATTGCAAATAATGATTTATCCTAGTTCAGCCCTTCCTCTTGAGCCTACATCTAGTCCCCAAACAACTACTTGAGATTTCTTCACTAAAACACAAGCTTGATTGGGTGCTTGCCATCTCGGTACATCCACAAGTTCAGTTTAAGCACTTGTAAGCCTTTACAATAATTTACTTTGCTAGTGAGCTTCTTTTTCCAAGAGAGCAACCTCTCTTGATTCCAAGAAAAATCTCTCCCTCACCATTACAAAGATTTTTAGTATGTGAATCACTCAATTGAAACTCTCTCTAAGAGTAATGATGAGTACAATGAAGTTCTAATACTTAAATGATGAAGATATAAATGATCTTAACTCAAGAACAATGATTTTCGTATAACAAGAGTAATATGATCATGAATTTCATAACTCAATGATTCCTGAGGTTAATTTCATGTTAAAATCAATTGGGAGTATTAAATTTATATCTCATGGAGTAAAATAAGTGTTAGAGACATCAAATGATTGTTTGGAGACATTACACAATGAATATAGCCATTGGTGTATTTTCTTATGAGTGACCAATGCTAAATCTTGCAAGAAATTGCATGTTTTGAAGGTTTCTTATATGTAGATACAATATCTTGTGAGTCACATGCTAAATCACACAAGAAAATACATGTTATAGAGCCTAAAAGACAAATCATGCAAGAGAACAAGGTGTTTTCATGCGTGATTTGGACCATGGAAGTTATAGAATAAGAAACAAGACTCTGGAAGTCATTTCTCGCATGTATATAGGTTGTTTCACATATGATTGAGCATACAGAGGCTGTTCATGATAAAAATATGCTTCTAGAGGTCATTTCATGTGTGATTGAGAAGTGCTCTCATGTGAGTTTTTGCACTAGTGCTAAACCACGTGTGCATCTCAGTTGCTCTCATGCATGAATTTTTAGCTTCATTGTGGAAAAATTCATAATGCCTAACTCACTCAATACAACTTTAAATTTGACAAATTATACACCGTTAGAAATCTCTTGAAGTCTAGTTTTTAATAAAATAAGTTTCACACTCAAATTAAATGTATATTTTGAAATATGATTAAAAGAGTGGACAAAGGTCAAGACTCAAAATTTTCTAGAAAAAACTTCTCTTCTTACCTAACACCATGTTGGGATCAAAGGGTAGTGGATGCGATGCAAGCAAGGAACTCAAAGCCAAAGAGTAAATGAATAAATAAAAAAAATCACGTCTCATGATGTTATGGATATGGCACAAACAAAAGACAAACAAAAGAGTAAATCTCAATTTGACTTCAAAGATGAGAGAATAAGTCAAATAGATAATGGGGTATTCAAGGAGCACATGAAATTAAATGAAACAACGATAAATCACATGAAGGTAAAAGAATTAAATAAGATAGAAAAATAAGAAAGTGGAGCATTCAAGTGTAAGACCCATGCAATAACTATAATTTCTTACATCGTTAAGATCCCACGTTTGGCTGCTAGCTACCCCAAGGTTAAAGGTCAAATTTAAAACCCTGACTTAGCTGTGGTTTTTTTTTTTTTTTTGGAAACCCTCAAAGTATATATATACCCAAAGTTTAAAAGGAGATAAATTCACCTCTATGAATCTCAATCAATTTGGATCTTTATCATCTTTTCTCTTACAATTTTCTTGGAGTCTCTCTAACTGTCATTTCTGTTCTACCTTTGCTTTTCTTTATATAGGCATGTACACCTAGAGTTTTTCTAAAATCTCAATTGTATCATGATTTTTTTAATCTATATCAACATTTTATATACTCTTTTGTTATTACTATTTAGAGATTAAATATTATTTGTTATCTCACCTATTATTATATCCTAATTATTATATTATTTTGAAATATTCAAATCTCAATATTAGATATTAGATTGTATTATCTTGAAATCTTCAAATTATTAAATTATATTATATTTTGATTATTATATTATTTTGAGATATTCAAATCTTTATAGCTCATTATTATATTATATCATGATCTAGTTTGATTATATTTGTGTCATTTTTCTTCGTATCTAAGACCTTTTAAATTTTATTTACTTATTTCCTTATTATAAAATATTTTTATATTTTTCTTTTTATTATTTTATAGAGATTGCTTTTGTAAAATGTTTTCTTATTTTCCATTTTTCATTGTCTCTTTTTTATTAATTTTATTATTATTTTATTATAGATGTTATCTTATTTATTTACAAGGCCACGGATAAAATACGGTATTTACGTTGATATATTCATATGTAAACATTTAATATGAACAAATAATTATTATAATTTCGCAACAAACAATCCACTACCAATTTAAAATTTAACAAGCAAGTCAAATTATATCAACTAAATTACAACTACAACTTCGATTTGAACGCGACTACAGTGCATTTTTTACAACAAAAAATTCATCTAATATGCACCCTGCTCCCCTATGCAAAGCCCCAATTAAATCCATCTCAGGTGCAAAAAATGGGAACCTTCTAGGTGTGCATGATAGTGATGAGCTGATCTAGCCCTCCATTATTGTTGCCCTCATGATTCATTACATATAGAAGGCTTAAGAGTCTTTTAATCCCACCTACCCTCTCGATTTGGCTATCATATACATGAGCGTGATGTCAGACCCACCTACCCCATTCCCTTTCCCACTCTTTGCTGCTGTCACCGTTGGTGGTAATACTATGCCGCCCATCATTGCGGTTCAAGGTTCTACGTGCTGCACGATACTTCTTTTTTTCAAACCAAGGACAATTATGTCATTTCATAATAAAATTTAATTGCATATAGGGCCGTTGGCCTGTAGAATGAATTCAAATTCTATTGGAGACAGTTGCAATTTTCTTAGTTCTTAGGGCTTTAGGCGCGATTCTCCCTATTTTTTTCCTTCTCTTCGTCTTCTCCAGCAAGTCACGCGAGTGGGAGGGGGAGAGTGCAGACAAGACGATTTCATGGATGCTTGAGTAGAAGAATGTTAAGGTAAGATTTCATACTCAACCACTCCTAGTCCCAAAACTTCCATTATAAATATTTGTTGACTACTTTATTTGATGATAACAAAACTAGAATAAAGTTCTATCTGTACAGATTCTAAAATCATTTATGACAACTAATCAAAGAGTGAAAAGGAGCATGGACAAGAGAAAACTAGCTTATAAGCTTTAATCTTTATAATTCTTAGATTATATGTAAAAAACCTTGAATTGTGAATAGTAAAACATTTCCAAGGGCAAGTCTGTTAAATCAAGCAACAACACCCCAAAAAAGGTGAATTAAGTATTTGGCGAATTTATGATTTCTAAAATACTTTTCTTGAGAATTGAGCTTAATTGAAAATACAGCAAGAGATTTATCAAAATATGTTTAGTTAAATTCCAAATATTTTAATTGCAAAGGTTTTACCAATCACTTAAAGGAAAACAAATTATGTTTCTAAAGACAAGTGACTAAACAAAAAATCCTTTGAAAACAGACTCAAAAGGCTTGGATAAAGAAGTCAGAGTAAATTAATCAAGATGTTAAAACCAGTTATCAAAACAAATAAACTTTCGCTATTAAAATTAAAGAACTTAAAAAATACTTCATAAAATTAAAAGATCTAATTGAATTTGAAAACAAAATATACTTTAACTTGTTATTATATTTAACTCTACCTTCAACATTTAACATGCTATTAATACTTGATGTATTGTCAAATTCCAATGTCCACCATGTAAAATTGTCAGCGACAAACAACTTTGAATGGGAGGTGGTTCCCTTTTTAAAAATTTTAAGATATTCTTATTAAGTATGAGTTTCAACTTTTTTTCAATTTGTAGTTTAACTAACAGTACTTATTTCTATCCTCAACATCTCTCACCAAATTTCACTGTAACCTTTGGTATAGCTAACGATTGGTGATGCTAATGATATAATCTCCAAAACTAACTGAATTATTATTATTATTTTTTTTGGAAAATAGTAATATCTGAAAAAAAAATTCAAAGACGAAACATTTCGTAGAAACAACCGTCATAAAAATAATAACATGGGACAATCACAAGCCTATCATTCATTCCGAGTGAAAAATAACATTGTACAGGGAATCGAAATGGAGACAGAAATAACAGATACAACATCATTAAATACATCTACTCGGAAACGAAACCTAGATGCACTTGGTAGCAATGCCACAAAATGACTTTGCATGTTGGATTACCAAGTAAGAATATCATCCCACAGGAGAGCCTATGAATAATAAGAATTGAAGCTAACCTTGGTCAGAAAAAAGCTCAGCGTGTGGAAGTTTGGGAAGAACTTTTAGCAGACTGCTCTGAAGCATGGGCAAGGCCTTGTAACATTCTCAATATCTCACTTGTGTCTTCTAAGTAATACTTGGCCTTGCTTGGCTTCTGCCCGACCGTGCAGGCAAACACTTCAGCAACCGGTGACAAAGAGTCCCTCGCGCTCATGATCACTTCAAACATGTCTTCATCTGATCTGTCATCCCCAATGCATAGAACAAAATCTGGAAGTACTTCCTTTTCACGCATTGTTAGGAGAAGATGTTCTGCTACAATTCCCTTGTTGACACCCTGCAGTAAAAGATTGGAACATAGTCATGTTTCATTATATAATTTGAAGCTCAAAAATTAAAACTCAAAAAAAAAAATGATATACATAGATGATAAGGTTAGCTTTAACCAGTTTTTTGTTAGATTAAACCACAATAGTTAAATGAAATTTAGTAGAAGCAATTCGGACATCTTCTGTATGTTTCAAACAAAAGTGTTTAATGATTAACATCATTATGTGAAACAAACAGTGTTGTCAAGATAGGATGATCCGTCGTATAATAAGCTAGCCTAGTGCCCTAGAACATGACCATAGTCAGATCAAATTCATAGTTTATTTTCAAACATTTTTTCCAACTGTTTTAAGACGCATATATATGTAACTTTCAAGAATAACAGATTGTAGGATAAGCCCAAATTTAGGGTTCGTTCATTTAATAGGAAAAGAAAAAGGTAGTTTCTATGGGTGATTACGTTGTGCAGTTTAATCCCCTAGGGACAAACCTAGATGGACTACAATTGGAAGGGTAAATTTTGACTACCAACCTGGGGTTTGACTTCAACAATGTGAGGGCCACTTTTAACGGAAACAGGCTCATTGGCAAGAACACTTTCCAGGTGGTCTAAAAGCTCCTTAGCCTGGCATGAACCAAAATCACGGTCTGCATACTGGTAATTCCAAACTAAAGCACTCTCTTTGGCCTCAATGTTAGAACCATCAGTTGTTTCAGTGTATAATTGCATTACTGGCTCAGCAATCTGTTTCCAGTCAAAATCCGGTACAGAATGACAAGTTTCCCATTCTGCAGCATTACTTGTCCTGGGGAAGAAAGGGATAACCCCTAAGTTAAGCACAGAAGCAAACGCCAAAAAACAATAATAATAAAGAATGATACCATTCCTACCATATTTGGGACCAAAAAAATGGAGTTAAATTTAGCAGTGCTAAGAAGTTAAAATTAATGAAAGACCAAAAGAATACAACATGCATGCACAATCATCATATAATATTTAACGGTGATTTAGTATTCAGCTTCTTTGGGGGTCATTGGAAAACCAACTAAAAAAATAACATACCTCAAAAAGTAACCATGTTCAGCAGCAATCCCTAGCCTTTCACATGACGAAAACCAATTACTCAGAGTCTTTCTCTCCTTGCCACTAACAATGAAAACAACATTATCAGGGTCACTACACAGGCTCTTCAAGATTCCAACAGCATCAGCACTTGGAGTTGTACTAATTGTTCCAGGCTGCATCATGGTACCATCGTAATCCAGAAGAATTACCCGGTGCTTGGTCCTCTTGTAAGCCGAAACAATATGCTCAACTGATAGCTTTCTAAAATTTGGATCTAAAGCAATGACCCGAAATCCTAAACCAAAACCAATGCCCCAGCACCTCCTTCTAAGGTGGTCCCTACAAGCTCTTTCCAAATCCTGCAAGAAGCTACGTGCCCAATATGCGACATCATGCGTACTTACATACCTGTAATGTTTCTCATGTCGCATCTGTTTTTCAGACACCGGGACTACAAGGGCAGAATCCATGGCTTCGGCAACAGCATCAATGTTCCACGGATTCACTCGAATTGCCCCACTTAATGAAGGGGAGCACCCAATGAATTCAGATACAACCAGCATGCTCCTCTTTTGAGATAATGGATTTATCCCCAAAATCTGATCTAGTTTCTCATTTCCTTGTCGACATATGACATATTCATACGGTATCAGGTTCATACCATCTCTCACTGCTGTAACAAGACAACATTCTGCAATTACATAATATGCTATTCGCTCATAGAATTTAAGTGGTGTGTCAATCAAGATAACAGGAGTGTATCCAGGCCTTCCAAAAGTATCATTTATCCTTTTTACAGTGGCATAAGTTTCACTTTGTACCTCCTGTACATCCTTCCCCCGTCCTCTTGCAGGATTTGCAATTTGGACCATTACAACTTGGCCCCTCTTATCTGGATGTTGGTAGAGCAATTGCTCCATGGCCAAAAGTTTTAAGCTAATTCCTTTGAAGATATCCATGTCATCAACCCCAAGCATCACAGTTTGACCTCTGAACTGGTCTCGTAATTCTGAGACCTTACTCTCTGTCTCAGGAAGATTCATGACAGATTGAAGTTGGCCAATATGGATTCCAACAGGAAGAATCTTGATACTAACAGTTCTACCATAGTACTCAAGGCCTATGTAGCCCCGCTTAGATTGATAAGAAAGCCCAAGCATTCTGCTGCAACATGAGAGGAAGTGCCTTGCATAATCAAAAGTATGAAACCCAATAAGGTCAGAGTTCAGAAGAGCTCTAAGAAGTTCATCCCTTACAGGAAGTGTTCGGTAAATCTCAGAGGAAGGGAATGGACTGTGGAGGAAGAATCCTAGCCTCGCCCTGTTAAATCTCTTCCTCAAAAATGTTGGCAGAACCATCAAATGGTAGTCATGAACCCACACAAAGTCATCATCAGGGCTAATGACTTCCATTACTTTATCTGCAAATATCTTATTCACAGAAACGTAAGCTTGCCAAAGAGACCGATCAAATCTACCACCAAGATCAGGTGACAGTGGAAGCATGTAGTGAAATAAAGGCCATAGATGCTGTTTGCAGAACCCATGATAGAATTTGCTGAAAAGCTCAGGAGGGAGGAACGTGGGTACACATTTGAAAGTGTCAAGCAAATACTGAGCAACATCATCTTGCTCACTTACATCAATTTCTTCTTTAAGACACCCAATATAGATCACTTCTACATCATCTCCAAGGCCATCTTTCAGCTGTAAAAGAAGAGAGTCCTCGTCCAAGGTGAAGTCCCACTTACCATCATCTTTTCTGTGTGCCAGCAGAGGAAGCTGGTTACCAACAATAATCATCCTATCTTGAGAGATGGATGAGGGAGCATCAGAGCCAGCACTGTTGTTCTCATCATCAAGTTCTGAAAGAACTCCAGCAACAGTTGCCACCCTAGGGAGCCTCTTCTTCTCCCGACCAAAAGTTGGGGAATTGCAGGAAGTAAGCTCTAACAAGTTAGAATAAGACCTAGAAACCATTATATCTTTTATGACAATAAAGGACCTTCAGTAGACAAGAGGTGAAGAGAGACCAATGCAGACTCCTGATAATCAAATTCTTCAAACTTCCACCAGAAAAATGAAATTACTGAAATCAGGGGAAAATCAATTAGACATCGTTTCCTGCAATAATTTGCAAGTCTAGCAGAATCAGAACAAAAGTTACACTACATGAAAAGCCCGTTTAGAAGTTTCAATCAATCTTCCCATGCTTCAAGATTTCAAAATTCATCTTGGCGTGCAGTTCTAGAAAACACAGCAAGCCAATTGGTAAACAGAATAAAGATGATACAAAGGAAGGACAAATCTCACAGCAGAGAAATACGATATTAAGCTAAACAAACCTGTATAAACACATCAATCAATTTTATAAAATCTAAGACAGGATGTCTGAATATATTAATTGACTTATAGTTACCCATAAGCCAAAATCTAACAAAATTTTAAAACTTACCACCAGCAAACCATCTAGCATCACTGAGGATTTGAACAGGATTAAGATGGGTGTATAAAATCATAAATCTATTTAAGAAGCGAGATCAATACAAATGTACGATTTAACATATCTGCCATTGACAATGATATAAGCTTGGAAAAAGGGAGATCAACTTCCTGAGCCAGAGAAAGTGCCCAGATGTGACAGAGAATGAGAAATGCAATGGTTGAATAATTACAATGACTAAAAAAACAGGTCGCTGATTTTACAAGAGCAAGTGTAGAAGATGGAGATTTAACACATAATTTCATCTAGTTTTTTGATTCATACAAGTTAAGATTCAATCCTCATTATGATATATTTTGATAACAGAATGTAAATACAAGAACAAATTATATGAGTAGAATACCAAGCCAAATCAAGGCCTGTGTCAATAAACCTGCATGGGAACCAACACCGGATACAGTGTGTCATGGTAGAAGATGACTAGGGCTCACTCAAAGGCAGAGAACAATATCAATCTATTTGCAGAATTACAATTAAGGACCAAGGACCTTAACTTCATCAAGTTTACAGATAATACCTTGTAAAAACAAGTTGTTAATAAAATTACAAATATATCTCCTCAAAAATAAATAAATAAATAAATAAAGTATCAATTAATATCTTCAGCAATTACACTCATGGCACATTTGCTAAATGCTAATTTCAATGTCAATTTGTTTTGTTAGGTTGAGTAATATGAGACTCAACACCCACAAGCAAGGTCTCGAGTTCAAGCATTGTGAATGAAAAAATCCAATCTAGAACTATTCCACAATTGGAACCAGACATAGCTGGTATTCAAATCCATTAATAGTACAAAATATAAGATGGTTTGTCACAAAATATATATAACAAAACTATTATACAATATCTCTACATAAAAGAAAAGATTAGAATCAATAATTGCATGTCATAATTTGACAAAATCAATATCTCCCAAGGTTAAAAGATTGCCTCTCTCATAACTTTGCACCTTTAAAGACGCTTTAGAAAGGAAATTTTGTAGCCTCAGGAGATATTGATTGTGCAAATTATGAAAAGCAATTATTGATTCAAATTTTTTTCTTTTAAGTAGAGATACTACATAATAGTTTTGGCATATAATTTTTGTGATAATAAACAAGCTCGTAATAATACGAACAAAACAATGGCACAACACAGTATATGATTCAAATCTAGCTAAGCTAGACTAATACAAAAATTTAACAAACCTCGAACAATCTAACAATCTACCAGGGTAGCACCAATCAAGTTTCCATATAGTCTCCCTTGTTCAGATGGTCCCTACGTGATGAAAGAATAAGTTCAATACAAACATTTCACCATTGAATAAACTTGACCAGATCTAAAAGAATAAAGGAAAAAGGAGCAAACCAACTAAAAATTAGAAATAATGAAAAGAAGCAATTATTCCATCTTTAAATCAGCACGAACTTTTGTTTCTTTGACATCATCAAGGGTGTGAAGTGCAACTACTCATAGTTTGATTACTCCATCAAAATTCATCTGACAATGACAAATTAATCAAAGTTTAGGGCAAACGCCTCCTATTGAGATCATATTATTCCATTTGGCCATCACTAAATAAGCTTACAGCAATTATGCTTCAGCAGTTGAACCACAGCACGCTAAAAATATCGAAAGTCAAGCAACAAGGTTCCAGCTACTAACTCAGTTTGAAAGTTTAGCTTCAACTTGTAAAGTGACATATGCCATTCAGTTATCAAATCAAAAAATTGCATAAAGGAAAAAAAAAAACGGAGTGACCCTGAAAATATAATATAGACATAAAAAAAATTAAAAACGGAATCATAGCAGAAGAAAGTGGAAAGGGAGAAAAGCAGCAGAAACCAAAGTGGAGAGGAAGCAGATGACACTTACACGATCGAAGATCTAAGGGAGATTTCTGCCTACAAATCACAAGAGACTGAGATTAAGCAAGATTAAGCTGTGAGTGTCAGAGACTGAGGGATCGAAAGGCAGAGCTGGAACTTGAGAGCAAGCGCGCAGAGAGAGAGAGAGAGAGACGGAGCTGGAGAATGGAGAGCAAGAGCCGAGTGAGATGGATGGAGCTTGTGGGTGAGGCGCTGACCAAGTGAGGAACAGGGAGTAACGTCGTGTGTGGTGAGGGTGGATAGGGTTTGAGTTTAAGTGTAAACTCAGACTTTAAAGAGCCAAATTCAAGAAATCCCCGAATCGAGAGCTCATATATACTGGAACCAAAAGAAGCTGCATCATCTATATTATCGAAGCACGAAGAAGAGAACAACCAACCTTCACATATATACGGCCCAATCAATCTAAACTGAGTGAGAAAATGGCGAATGAACTGCACGGACAAAGTACTTTCCGGCGACGCTACTTGGTGGAGGAGGAAGACGATGGAAGAGACGCAGAAAATGGAAGAAAAAGATCAACGAGTGAGAACCAAGAGTGAAAGAGAAAGAAAAAGACAGGGCACAGGGACTACAGGGCATAGCGTAAGATGAGAGCACGGAAAGATGCCAAGCAAACAGTAACTAGTGCCGGAATTCCATTGTCCTTGACAAAAACTGAAATTCAGAACTGTTTAGCCAACACTTGCAAATAAATCTGTCATCATTTAATGTCCTTTAAAATAATTTATATTACAAACACTTTTATTATTTTTTATTTTTATTTTTTATTTTAGTTTATTTTTTTACTCCTCTAATCTTATTTATAAATCATTTTCAACATATTTTATCAAATTAAAAAAAATTTAAAACTCATTAACTCTATTTAAAAATTCAACAAGTTCTCAATTTATCCTTGTAAAATATAATTTCTCCATTCTAAATTATAAGACATTTGTTATGGAGATTCAATATCTCAAAATGTAAGATATTTTTAGAAGATTCAAGTTTCATTAAATAAATTTATTTTAATATTACCATTTTTCTCTATATTTAATTTATGTCTCTCTTTCTTCAATATATTAAATTAAGAGTGCTTTTCAAAGTTTATATTTTTATTTTAAAAAAATATAATTTTTATATTTAATGAAATTTATTTATATGTGAAATTTTATTTAAAAATATCTTATAATTTAAAATAAATAAAGTATGTATTTTAATAATATATTTTCTCTCTCTAGCTTTCACTAAAGGGTGAAAGAAAAAATGATAAAAATTTAATGATATAATTTATATATAAAAAAAAATTCTCTTCCTCATAAATATAAAAAAATTATTGGATTAACCTAGTGCAATATATCATTTATAAACTATTCAATAAAATTATATCATTTTAATTAAATAAAATTTTATGTATCATTGTTTCTTATGATTTTATTTTCAAAGTATGATATCTCTTTAATTTATTATCTTTTTTTCTCTCTCATCATTAATGCAAAATTAATTTATATTTATAATAAAATAACATATCATATTTTTATTAAATAATCTATGTGACGTAATAATTTCTTCCCAAGGGAGTAGACGTCACAGATAGTGTTATAAAAGGTTTTAGTGGGAGAGGGCCTCTCATTTTTCTTTTCTCTTTGCTGCCCCTTTTTTTTTATTGTTAGATCAAAATTTTCAATAATTGTAATTTAACATTTGATAAAATTATTATTATTTTATTTAAAATTTAATATTTTACTTAAATAGTTTTGTGTAAATTTATAATATTTTATCGAAAATTAAATAAAACCATTGACAAACTTTAATATAACGGTGGTAAAGGAATAGGGAAAGAAAACGAGAGTAAAGACAAAGAGTATCCCAGTTTTGTGTTAGCACTTTCTCTTCTCAAAATTATAATGTACTCCTCAGTTTTTATATATAAAGATTTTTTAAAAAATTATTCTTAAATATAAGAGATTACTAAAATATTTTTAATGAACGCACCATTATATCCTTATTAAATTAAAAAGAAAAAAAGATAAATATTCTCATTAATTTACTTTATAAAAAAAATTTATTTTTTATTTACAATAATTAAGAGTAAAATTAAAATGTTAATGTGATTTTAATTAAATAACTAATTTTTATTAGTTTGCATAATTCGGTTAAAAACATCTTATATATGAGTGGAGGAAGTATTTTTAACTAAGTTTTACTTTTAAAAATGGTTATTTTTAAAAATTGGTTATTCTTTTGTATGTATATTATTATTTAATAAGGTAAATTTATTATAAATAAATATAAAAAGTTTATTAATTTTAAATATATGTTAAAAATACTTTAAAAAATTATTAATTATTTCCAGAAAAATCAAAATACCTTATTCAACTATGATATATATCTTTAAAAAATATGAGAGAATGATAAAGAAGTCCCAAAAGGAAAAATTAATTTAACATAGGTTCCAAGTGTTAAATTTCAGGAATTTATAAATTCAGCTTTTAATTTTATAACTTTATTGTGATAAATTTGTAACTTACTTTTCAAATTTTAATATGGCTAAAAAAATAAACTATTTTTTATTAAAATTTAAAAGATAAATTGTAAGTTTATTACAACAAAGTTATAAAATTAAAAATAAAAAATGTAAATTCTTAAAATTTAACACTTAAAATCTAATTTAAATTAATTATTTATTTTGAGACTTTTTAATCATTCTTTCCAAAAATATCTCATAATGTTGATGATGGAGTACATTATTCCCTGTGACTCTGAGAGTCAATCAACTGTAGAGTATTTGTTGGCAAAAATAAAAAACCTGTAGAGTACCATTTACCACACTGTTGGATAGTAATGCACTAAACCACTAAAGATCAGTCTTGCGCTCTTACTGTTACGTTAACTCCATTAACACGAGTATTAAACAATGGGCTATTGCCTATTGGAAAGGGTCGTTTCTACTCTTTTTTTTTTTTTTGGAAAATCACTCAGCAGCCTTGCATATGAATTCTAATTTTCATGAAGTCTCAAAAAATATATAAACATCTCTTAAGTTCCATGGATGCAATTGCAATTAATTTTTAATGTGCATTTACCATAACCTCCAACATTCACGCCCTCCTCTCCCCGGCACTCATCAATCATTTTCTTCTTCTTTTTTTTCCTTTTGCGTTGTAACTTTTGATATCCCAACCCACAAACACGAGACCAGACTAATTCGAATCAAGATCGGGTTGGCCATATTGGGAAAAGCCTCTACCACACTCTCTTGAAGAATTTACCATGCTAGGTGCATTCTCAAAACTCGAACTTCAAGCTATTAGTAAGTTAGACCTCGTACCAATCAAACTAAACGTTTAGTGGTCCCGTCAACTATTTTTTAACCTCAAATCACGCCTTCTTTGTTCCTCTTACAACTGTTGGTAGTGTGCAAGAGTGACTCCAATTTGTTGTCTATGATGGACTGTAAGCACGCGCTCCTTAGCCTTGGAAGCTTTTGGATCTCAACTTTAACCTTACTCGTCCATTGGAGGTTGCTTGATCTAGCCATGCTTGAAGACATGTCGTGAAAGATCTTTTTTTTTTTTTTCACTGTCATTCCATCTCTTTTCTTGACCTCAACCAACAAAAATTGCTTGGATTTGTTCACGAGTCTTAACTTGAGTGGATATGTGTATAGATTATAACTCAAAGCAAGTGTTTCCTTTTTTTTTTTTATTTTTTTGGTTTTTTTTTGGCAAAACTAAGAAGTTATTAGGAGATTCTCACTGTTAATTCTGCAATTTCTGTTGATCATACATATAATTAATTCAATTTACAAGCTGAAGGAAGGTGACAAGGATTGAATCTCATGGAACATTTTTCACAATGTAATTGGTTGTGGAGCCATTGTTCTTGCTATCTTAGAGCCTATTTGAATTTCAGTTAGGTATAATTAATTATAAAAATATTGATTAAATGATTGATTTTAATCATAATTGATTATGTTATAACGTAATCTGTTTAGATATTATTTTTTTAAAATTAATTTTAACATAATTAAATATGTTTGAATAATTTATTCAAAATTAATTTTAGTTGTATAAAGTATCATAAAGGACATTGCTTTTTAAAATTAAATTATTGATAAATTTGTATCTAATATTATTAAATTTGTTAAATTTTACTTAAAAAGTAAAATATATTATTTAAATTATATAAGTCTCACATAAGGAAAATTAATTACTGTAAGATTTATTGACAACTGAATTAAATTGTATTGACAATACAACCAGTTGTCAATACAATAATTAATTTTTCTGTGTGGA